TCGGATGCATAACACTACACACAAGTATACATGTTGAAACATCAAAAGAGTAAATAAAGATTCCAAAGATGAAATACCAACTAATATACAATCAATGTTGTTAATTATTACATCATTTTTCTTTTGATTGTTCCACGATTGTTCACCAACTCTCTAGTAATGCGTATGCATGTATGACGTCACCAAAACACACCACCGCGCATGCGCGTAACAGCGTCCAGTACGTATTGGACCATCCAGTCACGTCATCGCGCTACAGGCTGCAGCGAGGACCTCTTGTAATTGGTGGGGGGGGTCTACCAAGATGGCGCTCTGAGTGAATGTGTTTCTCTGAGCTCCGCAAACCGAACTGTTTTCTATATAGTTAAAAGTGTGTACAAAACTGACTTTTTGCTTTTAGTTCATGTACTGAGTTTGTCCGGCTGTATTCTGGTTACCATTGCTGGTAAAATTAAGCCTCAGGAGAAGAGGAAAAGCGGCGCTAAAAAAACGCTTGCTAGTACGTGTTCTACCAACATGGCTGAAACGTTAGCTCCCACTGAGCAGTCAGATACAAACAACATGCTCATTGACAACATGCACGACTATCTCGAGTCAGACACAGAGGTACTGAAGGTCTCGTTAGTGGATGACAATTTTCCGCAACTTCCCATCACCCCGGTTAAATCACCTGCACCTAAATGGAGACGTGTGGAAGATACGACAACTATACCGCAATCCTCTCCCAGCTTTCCTCCCTCTCTCAGCTGATAAACAGCAGGTCAGATGCCTTGGAAAAGTTGGTCAGTGACAACTCCTTGGTGATTGCCGACGTGAGGATGGCAGTTACAGAAAACACCAAGCAGATCGCCGGTATTAAAGATTCCTTTGATGCTGTTTGTGCTGAAGTAAAAAGCGTTAAAGAGAGAGTTGACCGCTGTGAATCGCTGATTGAGGCTTGCAAAGTTAATACTGACAAGACTGAGCAGCGTGTTTCTCAATTAGAAGCGTACTCCGGACGCTGGAATCTCAAGCTCTACGGCTTAGAAGAAAACGATCAGCAGGATCTGCGACATGAGATTATCCAGATATGCCAGGGTCTGCTTCCAGAGGCCAAAACCAAGCTTCCAGATGCCATAGACGTCATTCACCGCCTCGGCCCCAGGAAGCCTGATAACATTCAACCGAGAGGTGTCATCGTGCGCTTCTCTTCCAGATTCTACCGTGATGCCGTGTGGCGCTCCGCAAAGAACTCCGGCTTCCTGAAGACCAAAAACCTGAAACTGGCGGAGGACTTGTCAGCAGAGGACAGAGAGAAAAGAAAGAAACTGTGGCCCGTTTTTGATCAGGCTCGGAAAGATGGCAAGCCAGCTTTCTTCGTGGGCGGTCGTGCTTTTGTGGGTGGAAAGGAAATTCTCCCACCTTGAGACTTAAGGGTAATTGAGGGTAATTCTAGTACACAGCTTAAGGCCGTGACCATAGAGCGTATGTATGAAAAGTGCTCGTTTTGGCCAAAACCCCCCCCCCAAAAAACAGGGTGACACCCGCCTTTACCTGCGGCTGCGGTCACACTACCGACCCCTTGTCTCTTCTCTTTCTGCCAACTTACCCCGTGTCCCACCACTTCGATCCGGAGGCATCATGCTTAAGCTGGACGATGGTCTTTCTGAAGGGGCAGCATTTGCACTTTGTCGCTCTATTGCTTGTGCAGCTTCTCGGAGAAGCTGTGGAACTGACTTGTCCATGTTGCCTCACTTGAACCTTCGTGACCCTCTGCGTAATACCCCCCACCAGTGCCATAGAGAGAAACAACACAACTTAAGCCCCGCCTTGATGCAGTGATTGACAGGGCAGGAGGGGGCGTGATCGACTCGGAATGCATTTTCAATGTGCACATTGAATTTTGCTACATTCATTGCGGAACATTTCGTGAAAATGCAATCGCAAGTGTCTTGACTGTGAGTGTAAATGCAATTAAGAAAAATAACATTTGAATGATCATTTTGCCACAGTTTTTGCTTGAACATGCTACACATATCTAATAATTTCTGTAATGCATTTTCATTTTAATTTTGCAACTTATAAAGCGTTTCATTAATGCATATTAAAACTAGTGTATGAAATGGCAAATGTAAATTATGTAATTTCATTTTCATTTTCATTTTGCACCAAACATTGCTAAATGGTAATGTAAAATGTAAATTTAAATACAGAATGCCATGCCATTTTCAGGGGCGGACTTAACCATTAGGCAAAGGTCGGCAATTGCCTTGGGCCCCGAGCTACCTAGGGTCACCCAAAATGCCCCATTAAATTATGCTTAAGTTTTTATTTATTTTTTACTTTTCGCAAATTATATATTTCTAAAAAACATTTGCGAAAAAAGGCATAAAATCATTAGTGTCGCAGACAGGAGGGGCCCCCCCACCTCACTACATTGGACTATTCCATTATCTCACTTTCTGCGTGCGAAAGTGACAAGGCTAATGCGCCAAAAAACTGACGGAGAAAAATAGGTTATTGACAGACAGTGTAGGCTACAGAGTGACAGACAGAGAAGCTACCCAAGCGGTGCTGAAAAAGCAGGAAGCGGGAGGAAAGCAAAACGTTTTTAGCAAAATTGCAGAAGGTAACAAACTTTTTTGTGATGCCCGGTACGTGCTAACGATATGTTACAAGTCCAAGGCCGTAGCCGAGGTCCGGAACTCTGTCATATTTTACATTCAAAAATAAAATGTCAAGCTCTCTGAATGATTAATTAGCCGTTTAAACCACATCATATGAGTGTTTGCAATGCATGTTGCTGCGAGAAGCTAGCGCAGTGAACGGGGCTTGAGAGTGCGTTGTGGAGGGCGCGCGTGCAGCCTCCGTGTTGCCAGATCCACCTAATGAAAAGGTGGCAGTAGTCTTCTGGACCTGTTTTTCTGATTTAATGTGACACTTTAGGAAATTATTAAAGTGGAAAGTTGCATATTAGGGTTAGTGATATATTAATCTTATTTCCAAAACACAAGCTTTGAACTTATTTCGGATTATTATTTTGTTTTCTTGTTTTTCGTAGCAATATTTGGCAACATTTTACTGTCGGCATTAATAAAAAAAAAGCTTATAGACAAACTGTTTTGCATAAAGCTACCACATTCGGTAAGACAAACGCAATGATCATCGTGATTATCTGTAAGAAATGTATAACACTATCAAAAACTATAGCATAATACAGATCTGTATGAATGAAATTTGCCAAATAACTTACTGGCCAGCAGGAAGACGGCTCATGCTGTTTAGTTAACCTTTCACAAAGTCATCATAAAAACATTAATTAAAGCAGTGTTTCTCAACTAGCAATCTATTCAGTCAGCATATTTGTGTTTGATCTCTGTGAATTACAGAAATATAAGACTTGCTAGACCTACTTTTTCTTCTATATTTCTTTGCACAAAACTCTCCAGAAAGTGCCATGTAATAGTTTATTTAAAAAAAAAAAATTCTGATTTTTTTTTTTCGTTCTCTTTTAAAGATCGGATGGGGGGCCCCATACTACCTTCGCCTTGGGCCCCCAATTTGCTAAATCCGCCACTGGCCATTTTACATATTGCATTGTCATTTTGCATATTACATTTCAAATTGAATATTGCTACCCATATGCTTCCATAGCAAGTTACCAGTACTGCAAATCCTTTAATCACATCTAGAAATCAGGCCTATTGATAACGCAGGCAAATGCTGCAAAAGTCAGTTTCAATATTTATTTTGAGTCTGGAGGTTGCTGCAGAAAAATACCATACCTGGGCTGATCCCATATAATTTACTTTATGTGCATAATAGTTTTTTTGTGATCAAATGTTCACCATATAATTTGTCATTTAGGTGCAAGCTTCTAGATAGTGGACCTGAAAGAAATCAAAGCTAAAAGCCTAGCTCAAAAGGTATGTAGTGTTAAATACTGGATTTTAACTTCAATAAACATTGAGGTTAAACAACAGCCCTTAGGCAGACATCCATATTATAATAAATCCTTTTTTATAATAAAAGAAACATGTAGCAAATATGTAATCAGATTCTTTAAATTGTATTAATTTGTTGTGTAAATATGTGGGTTATATAAATATAAATAGATGGGCTTTGGTTCTCAAATCAAAATTAACACAAATCAAAATAAAGAAAACCAGAAAAAAAGACAATGGTGCAAAACTATGCTTCAATACATTTTTATTGTGGAATAAATTAAGTATCCCATAAAGCATTATGAAATAATCTAATGAAAATCATTTTCATGTGGCAAAAATAAATAAAAACATTTTTACTTCCAGAACTCAACTGCTGTGCTCTGTCTACAACCATACACATTTTCCAGTCACCTAGATAGCAAGAGGGCATTTTTATGAATTCACCCTTAATTATGTAATATACATGATCAGACTTATTACATTTTTATGGCCCTTTTGATACGGCAATAAACACAAAGGCTAACTGGAATCTTGATTATTTCACTGATTATTCTTTTAGTTTTGGATTGCCGGTGGTTTCAGGTTGCACATAAAGAAAAGTGCATGCTGTGAACTCACCATGTGACATAATCATGACCCTTCTGTTCAGTACATATTTGACTGTTCTGTACTGAAAAACTTTATGGGATCACACTTTATGAGACAATTTTTTTTTTTTTTTTTACAACCGTGGCATATGTTGCTTTGTCATTGTTAGGTAAGGGATAAACTAGAAAAAACTTTCAGTCAAGAACTAGAAGTATCGGCACATGGCTAAGCAGACATTTATTGAACAAAACTGCAGTTCAACTTCTGATATATCAGAAATACACTTTCCATATAATATCACTTTTGTAAATAAGGTACATATGGTTTGAAAATAATCAACTAATAATTTGTCTTTTTCAAGCTCAGCTATTGTTTAATACATTTCAAGTTATGGTTTATATGCAGACAGCAGTACACTTACCTATCAACAGGTATCACAAATATATGTATAAAAATAAATAGAAAACATTTAAACAAATATATGTGGATACACACTAACATTTACATGATTTCATACTGCGATTTCATGATGGCTCATTTAATGATTGTTCAAAGAAGGCTCTGTTTGAATAAGCCATGAGAGGCAGACGTTCCCCCAGCACAGCATCTCTGAAATTGCGTCGTCTCCACGCATACACAATACTGTTCAGAAAACCCTGGAGTGACACTGACAGCGCCTGTACAACAACACATGGGAGATAATATACCACACCATTAAAAGCTCTGTGAATAGCATACCTCTCAAACAACAACAAAACCTACTAATCAAATACTTTTTACCGGCGAAAGGCGGAGATGTTTCTAGTTTTCAACCGTGTCGATTGCAATGTTGAGGTGTTCAGTGTTATTTCCACTTTACAGAATAAAAATGTGATTGTTCTCCTCACAAATCAACTGTTTCTTGTTTTTCACTGGCATGTCTCTTAGGTGTTGAGGACTTGTCCATCTTTGAGCCTCCATTCAGTAACAGTAAAATACTTAAGTATTGTTAAAAACAGATACTCTAAGACTTTGAAATTTATGACTTGCAAATTGTAATGGAGAAATTTTTGCTGTAAGGTATCACGCAAACGCGAATGTTGTGCGTGTCCGAGCAACATGCATTCCTGAATGAATCATCGTTTGAAAATGAATCGGTTATGATTCAATGAGTCGCTCATACAGTAATTCACTTGTTTTGTTCCTAAATGAATTATAATGTTTTGAATGAATTGGTTAAGTGAATGATTCAATAAGTCACTCATACAATCAGTCACTTGTTTCATTCAAGAATTAAGGCCAGTTAACACCAAGTATGAAAACTATAATGATAACGATAAGTTCTAAAAATCATTCTAAATATAAAAGCATAGCAGAGTCTACTCCACACCACAACTCTAACGATAACGGCACAGAGAAACAATATTGTTGGAATCACCTTCAGAACAATTTTTTTCCCAGCTGTTGAATAATAAAAACATCCAATCATAAAGACAGCCAATCACAATCTATTCCGTTTTAAAGAGCTTGAGCATTTAAAGCAGCAGACGACAAACCTGCTGCACGGGCTTAGAATAAACGGTTATCGTTCGTAGACGCTAATATAGTTATCGTTATTGTTATCTTTATAGTTATCGTTCTTGCTGTGAAGTGTGAACGGACCTTTAATCAGCATTTTTTAATGAATCGATTTAATCACTCACTCATGCTGTCCATATTTGAATTCGGAACTGCATGGAATGAATGAATTGCATACTACTCTTACTATATTTACCAAATCTTTATATGTCAGAAATAGTAGAGTAGTATGCAAGTATCCAAATTCATCAAGTCACTATTGTTCCTGAATGAAGTAGCGATTTTTATCTCAGTGCTTCCCAACCCTAGCCTGACTTCGTCATACTCATATTCTAGTCAGAATGTGAGTCTGATACTGCTCCATAGGGCTTTGATTATGAGCCGTGTCTTAACCGAACCAGGAAAAAAAAACTCTGCACTCAATTGGATAGACCTACAACCAATCAGAGCAACGCAGTAAGTCAGCATAGTTGTCAACAGAACTGCACTCACGCTGGAAGAAGTAGTAAAATAATGAGTCAGTGTTGCTTCTTTTACTTGGTCCTCCATGAGTGCGACTGCGACCAAAGGAGAAACCACAACGACCACAGGGTTTTCATTGCGCCCCATCTTCTTAGTGACCATCGGAGCCAGCTGATAAATTAAACTTTTGCCGAATCCCGTAGGAAGGACGGCAAACACATCTTTCTGATCGACAAATGCCTTGATTGCAGTTCTCTGTTCGTCTTTTAAAATGAATGCGCTGTCGATTTCTTTTACAACAGATGCGATAGCGGAATCTATACATCTCAATTCTCCAGCGGCAGTCACCTTTGAGGGAAACCAGTTCAACCCAAGCGCTCTTTGATAACGTGATGATTACGTAACTGCAGATCATCTGTCCATCATTGTATAAAGCCAGCCCTGGCAATTTGATAAGCCCGACGATTTCTGAACCGATCATAATTACTCCTCAATGGATCGAGTCCAGACCGATTTTTCCCGACCAAAAAATGTTGTGGGCGGGGTCCGGGCTGGCATCCAGGCTATCCCAACCCTGTTTTAACATTGTTTTTTCATGGTTGAGTTCAATGACTCACTCATTCATTCAGTCACTTGTTCCGTTCCTGAATGAATCAGTGTTTTTGAACGAATTGGTTGAGGGAATGAATCAAACGACTCATTGATAAAGACAGTCACTTGTCGCCACCTACTGACGTAACAAATGCACCATGCAGAAAGAGTCACAAATCCCTGCTAATGCACAGATGTTACTTTTTACTAATGCATAATCCCCATCCCATCCCCCCCCCCCCCCCCCCCCCCCCCCCACACACACACACACACACACACATATTAACAGAACATGCTCTAGTTTAGAAAATGTGTTTTACCTGTATAACATAGAGGGGGAATATATGTTTTATCTGAGATTGTGCGAAGGACAGACAGATGAGAACCAGAGCTGAAAAAATCAAAATATAACTTTGTTTAAAATGACAAATACAACCATTCATATTCAGAGAAATGCATATAGACATTATTGCATATGTGTAGCATTTGAGAACACGTGTGTGCTATTGTACTGACCTGGTGCCCAGCAGAAAATGATAACAAGGATCATGTATCGAGCCGAGGACCAAATCCCACCTGGATGTCTCTGTGACATTGTGAACATGCTTGTGTTCTCATAATGCCTATAACAGCTTTGTAACCTACAGTACACCACCTACAGGACAACAGACACATATTACAGGAGATTATTTATGTAAAATACCAACAGTGACCCCAAAAATATCTGGACACTTGTCATTGCATTAGATTATAACATATAAAAGAAAGTGACATTTATTTTAAAGACACTTTTCAAGCAAAGCATGACATATTGAGTCCACTATTCATTTTCAGGGTAAGTGACGAAATTGACGAAAAATGTCAAATGATGTGATTTGTGAGCAGTATTATTCATAAACGTGTGTACCCACTGTGCAGCTGATGATGACGATCAACACACTGCTGAGAGTGAAAACAGGAATGAACTCGGCATGAACCTGATCCTGTTGGACAAAAGACAGCGTGATGGAACAGCTCCAGAGATTATTTAGATTTAAACTTGTTGTCTATACATTTCTTACCACTGTTGTGCAGGAGTCATTTGTGAGATGCAGGAAGAGAATGCAGCTGCAAGAAGAAACAGACATGAATTTAGGTAAATGATTCACATATGCGTACGTTACACAAGCTCACATAGAGAAACTCATCCTCACCTGCCACAGAACCTGGCGGAGGGCACCCTGCTGACGTGTGTCATATCAGACATCTGGGCTGGTTCATTTGCTGGCACGAGAATAGCTTCCATAACTCTGAAGGTATTAATATAGACGAGGTATCCAATTATTGGTACAAGCCTATAGAAATTACATGTAGTAAGCATATAGATCATTACATACACATTGCAATCAATCATATTTACAGTTTAACAAAAATCATATTTAAATGCATTTAAGAAAACTGAAATGGAACTACTCACCATGCAATTACATAGACAAGACAAAATCTCCTCCTCCTGCGTGATAACTGTGACAATGAATACATAAAAAATTTGCACACAATTAAATATATATATATATATATAGCCTATAATGAATCAATAACTACAATTTTGATTCATAGACAATAATCAAAAAAGTGGGTAACTTAAAAATGTCTACATCTGTTTTCAATTTCTGTTTTCACTTTAATTTTAGTCAGTGTTATAGTTAACTAAAGCTAAAATTGAAACTAAAACCATAAAAAAACATTTTCATCACTTGAAATTAAAATAACTGCAATAAAATATTTAAAAATAACACTTATTTTATTTCAGCTATGTTGCCAAGGCAAAATTTATCATGTTCATTTAGCTCAACTAAAATAACTAAAAACCAAAATAAAAACTAAATAGACATATTAAAAAACTATTAAAAATGACAAAAACACAACAAATTTACTGAAACTTGAAAATGAAACCTTTTTAAATAAAAACAAATTAAAAATATTTATAAAAACTATAATAGTATCTCAGTGATACTATTTTGTTTCATTTTGATCATTTTGTTGAGTGTTTTTGTGTGTTTTATTATACGTCTATATAGTTTTAATATTTGTATTTATTAGTTTTAGTTTATTTAGTTTGGGTTATTTAGTACTTCAAGTTAAACTAAACGAAAATGAGAATTGTGCCTTTGCAACTGAAATAAAATAAGTTACCTTTTTTATATTTTATTTCAGTTAACGTTTATTTTATTTTAAGTAACACATTTTTAATAGGGTTTAATGACAGTAACACTGATCTAAATGAACAGGATTTGAGTTAAAATATAATTTATTATGACTGAACTACACCAGGTTACAACAACAAATATTAGTTTAGTGTTGGGTACTTTTAAGAAATGTACTGCACACAGAGATAATTATACGTGGCTATATAAAGAAAATACGGGAGGAATGTGGCACAGCCTGACAGGTCTCAGACTCTGCCAAAAGCTGCGTCAACAAACATTCATAGCTGCTGTCATGTTAGGTAATACCAGTGACATTGATTTAATTTACATAACAGTGACAGTGACAGCGACAGTATGTGAGTGTGAGTGTGTGTGTGTGTGTGTGTGTGTGTGTGTGTGTGTGAGCAGCAACCCTGCTCACCTGGATTTCAAATGCTTCTTGCTCTGCTTTTTCTCTCCATCCTTGAAACGCAAGTGCTGACTCACAGGCATAAACAATGACAAGCAGAAACGAGACGCAGTAGAAGGCCTGGGAAGAGACAGAGAGTTAATGCTTAAACAACTGAAGTTCATCACAGCTGCCGTATAGGTCCACAGTGAAAGCTTTAGACACACCTGACTAATTTTATGTTTAATATTTCAATTTAAAGGTGTGTGCTGCAATACTGGGAAACAAAGTGTATTTTAAGCAGTATTAAGAAATGTTTCCTTCCTACTGTTGTGGCCTCATATGTAACAATAATATATTACAGGACAGTGCATGACTCAGTGGTTCTACATGTGCAAAGATGAGACTCTCCAATTGCTTTATGGCAACACACAATAATGCTGGAAATCTACAAAGCACTGAATGAACATCTGCTGTGTAACTCGACACCAAGATCTCACTGTTACCAAGATGTTCATTTCTCAGGTGTTCAAGGAAGTTGTTGCATAACAAGGACATTATTCAGTAAATGCACTGTGTCGTGCACACACACACACAAACACATTAAGTGTGCACTTAGTATTAGTATCCCAATTGGAGATTTAAACAAATACTTTCAGACTTTTATTAGACTTAAATTATTTTAACAGCTACGCATGATTACATGTTTCTATATAAGTTTCTCACCAGAGACAAAGGCAATCCGTGGTTGCAGAGCTTTTCACTGAGTGGCCAAATTTCATAAGGCAAATTAATTATGGCAGTGCACATCAAAACAAGCGACGCCAGGAAATCTGCCAGGGCCAGCTGAAGAAGAGGTTTAGTCTGTAATACAAGAACAATGATAAAGAAACATACACTCTTACACAAAGGTTCCTTATTGGCCTTGGTGGATCCATGAAGAAACTTTAACAACCATGGAACATTTCCATTCCACAAAAGGTTCTTTAAAGAGGAAAAAGGTTCTTTAGATTTTTAAAATGTTCTTCACTAAGAAAAAATGGTTATTTTAAAAACTGTTCTCTCATGGTTCTTCTATGCATCGCTGTGAAACCCCTTTTGGAACCTTTATTTATAAGAGTGAATGTGATGAAGCATTAAAAAGAACATGCTGTATATTTGCAAACGGGGAGGCCCAATTTAAGGAGCCTGCTGAAGAAATATTTTTTACAAATGTTTTGGTGAACTTTGCAAAAGAGTTTTCTAAAGCCTGTTATGCTGATAAAGAGAGATGTATCAATGATGTAATCAGAGGGCTTAGTTTTCATTGCGCACACTGGCACACTTTTAGCCAATATTGACCCTAACTGTAGACTTTTGCAGCAAGAATTTTGTGATTCAGCTGCGGAATGCAGATCCATCAAATCCATCATTTCATTCCATTTGTCAATTAAAAAATTTAGATTATGAATGTAAAATCTGCCCGAGCTGGTGGTTTGATCAGATCTGTTCCCGCAAGATGAAATGAAATTTCACATTCGCATATTGACTTACCTGTTCATTGAGATGCCTTCTCTTTATAATGGACACCACCACCACAGAACAACTACCTATCAGACTGCAACAGAAAAAAGGGTCATTCAAGTTAAGAATTCTACTTTGTGATTTTAAAAAAGCAACTTCTGTCCCTGTCGCTCCATATTTCTACCTGATTTAACCCTTAGAATTAGTTAGTCCATGTAAATGTATTTAGATAATAATAAAATAAAATAAATTACTTAAGATGTTACCACATTAACTAACATTTTGTTAGTTAAATGTATTATTATTTGTTAATTTAATTTTAAAAACATGGTTGCTGCGGTTGGTCACAAAGCTGTATTGAGGAACTATAAACACACACCATATTAGCATAAACAACACAAAATTAAGTATAAAACTACAATTTGTATAATTAATAACAATAAGGCAAAACTAACTTTTAAAGTAAAATTTTAACAAATGCGTGCTTCACACGTTACCTCAGTAAATTATAAAACCAATTCATACATTTTACTTCTAAAAAACATGTTTATGTGTAGCCTAAATGTATTAAATGTTAAATGCATTAAAAATGCATAAGTCCAGATGCAAGTAATGGTTTCTCTTTGATTAAAAAAGAAACGCACATACTTAATTTTAATGCATTATAGATGTATTACTTATTAAAAGCAATAGATCGTATAAGCGCTTATTTAACATTTCTCATTTCCTTGGAAATGAACAAATCAGTCGAATCAACTTTTTATTTCTCACCTTAAACTCAAGGTCGAGACGTAGATCCAAGACAAAGCAGTAATCTGTGCGTGCAATAAAGACGAAACAAAGAATATGAATATGTAGCTATAATATATTTGTAATAATAAATTAGTAATAAGTTTAACAGTCATCAAATCAATAGCCAACTGTCTGTTTTTGGTTTAAATATTTTAAAGCAAATTGTATAGTGGCAAATAATGATATACAGTATACTGTTTTTTCCACATTAAGTTGTATTCTCGTAGACTTCAAGTGTGATTAATTACCTTTTCTTCATCATCTGATAATCCACCGCTTGACTTCATGATAAAGAGATTAACTCCATAAACTACATGCCAGCTCGTTGTTGTTCTGTGTATCCTGTCATGTACATGTACAGTACAGCCGCTGTCTGTCTGTCTGTCTGACTGACTCCCGCCGTCTCACCTGGACGTTGAACCTCTGATCATGTGACATTTACAGTCTCACCTGTAGCTATGGCGCGGCTGCGCTACTTTCATTGCTTTCATACCTGGTTTTTGCGGGTAAAACCTCATGTGTTTTACATTACAGAGCTTGTGCCACAGGTAGGTGTTGTGTGGGTGTTATCATGAAGATACATACAACATAAAAGTCAAGCTCCTTAAATGATTATATGATATATCAAACAGCATACTTATTATAAGCCTACAACTTTTAACATCTTTGGAAACACTTTCAAATGGCGAATATAGGCATTAATAAACATTAATAATGCATAGCCTATATGTGTGTGTTGAACTACTAATCTGTAAACTGTGTTTCTGTTGTTTGTGTTCTGTAGCCTACACTTACTCTGACCCTCACCACTAAAATTAGCACGCAGTGACCTCTACTGGTCAAAATGTCACGTGCAACAAAATCAGTTATCCAATGAAAACTGAAATAAAAAACTTTAAAAGTAATAAAATAAAACTGAAAAGTATTTCGGCTATGGCATAGTTGGCTAGAAAGATTACTTAATTTAAAAATAATATAAAAATACTGGCTGATGGGTCCGGGGAGATAATATGACATTTAATGAATCAATTTAAAAAAACAACAACCAACTATATATATAAAGCACACAGGGATTGTTGTTCTTAATTTAGCCTTGGTTTTTGGTTTGCGGCCGCCGTCGGTGTATGAATGGGTGATTGTGAGGCAAAATGTAAAGCGCTTTGGTGGCCATTGGGTCTGTGAAAGCGCTATATAAATGCAGTCCATTTACCATAATTAATCAATAACAAACAAAACAATAAGATAAAAAAATATAAAAAAATAAGGTTATCCAGTGCTTTCAAATTCGCCGTGCCCCTAATTATGGAGATTTTATTATAAAAAATATAACAAAAAAAGAGAATAATGCAAGTCTAGTTTGTATGCTATCGCTATCATCAGACGGAATAAAAAGCACGTGGGCGTTTCAGAACATATCGGAAGTTATGAATAATTATGACATCATTGGCCAGAATGCGAATGCAGCAGGAAGTGACGCCGAGACTTCCACGGTGGCTCCTTTCTTACGTGGCAACGCGTCAAGCGACCGCGAGACACTGAGCACAAAGAGACAGAATATTCATTAAAATACGTTATTACATTTTCTTTATTGTTTCGCTTGTTGATAGGGTTTCAGCTCTTCTTTTAAATCATCATGGGTCTGACCATCTCATCGCTGTTTGGGAGACTTTTCGGCAAGAAACAGATGAGAATACTGATGGGTAAGTGTTTCAAGTGCATTACACTTCTGTGTTTCTGATGTATTTGTGTGGTAAATATTCAATTCTAAGACTATATGGATATAGTATGTGAGTGTAAGATTAAATAAAAGATGATTTGAGTCATTTCCTCATTTAAATTCAATAACCAATGTCATATTTCTTGGGCAGTGGCTAATGTTAGCTTGCTAACGTTAGCTTCAGATAGAGCTTGAATGAATAGATAAAATCACACCATTCATTGTAATGAAAATGACAGCTAAAGTTTTTTTTTAAAACTTATATTACAGTGGGGTTGGACGCTGCAGGTAAAACCACAATACTTTACAAGCTAAAGCTGGGAGAAATTGTCACCACCATCCCCACTATAGGTGAGATTACACTGACATGACTCACTTTCACAATGTTACATTTTTCACTTAAAACAGAAGCAGCTCATTATTAAATCTTATATGTGATGTATGTGAATCAGTTTTCAAGATTCTGTTCATTTTGGTGATCAATATCTGTAATGTCACAGCCATTGCCTTTACAACTTCAGTGTGGGTTTTAACCAAGTGTTTTCAGGGAGAATTTGCACTTAAAGTAATGTTTTGTCTGACATTGACATTAGAAGCTTTTATAATTGTTTTTATTGGTACAGATATCTAGATGAGTCCATTTGCTTATATATTACTAATTTATGCATAATCCAATTTATTGACAGTATATACAATTAATATGAATTACTGAAATTTAAGTGGTTTTATTTTTAATCAAAATATAAATACAAAATATGATTAGCAATTATGATAAAATATTGTATTCATTGGCAATGCTTTCAGTTGGTCTTTGAGCTGCCAAAAGGTGTAATGGCTACTGCTGTTAATTTACTCTTCACTAAGCCCCACCTTAAAAACATTACTGACCAATCCTACCTTAGTAACTGTTGCTGTCTGCCACATTATCACAAGCTTTTACAGAAATTATTTCAAAAATATGGTCAAAAATAACTGTTGCAGAGTCACACTCACTGTTTCTGAGCGAGCTACAGTAATTGAGGAACAAAGGGTCTAAATTTAGGTGCTGTCATTGGCAATAATCTTTTTTTTAAGGTAAATATCATCTAGTGAATTGCCATGGATGATGTATTTGCCTATCACTAATCAAAACCAATCAAATATTTTCGATATTACGATGCACCTTGAGTAAGTTGTTGTTGAAATGTATTTGTTTTCTGCTGATGGACAGGTTTTAATGTAGAAACTGTTGAATACAAGAACATCTGCTTCACTGTGTGGGATGTTGGTGGTCAGGACAAGATCCGTCCTCTCTGGAGACACTATTTTCAGAACACACAGGTATGATTTTTATATAGGGCCATTTTGTTTGGTGAAGGTGCCACTTGAATATGTTTATCCAAAGCAACTTATAATAAATCAGTTACAGGCACTGTGCCCCTTCAGCAGCATACTGATCTGAAGTCTCTTTCTTAATCTATGTGGTTAAGATGTACTGTGAACTTTAACTCGGATGCTTTTGTGAATGTTATTCATTTGAAGCATTTTTAGGATCATTATTTTAGCTGTTAAATTGTTTTGTCCTCAGGGTCTGATCTTTGTTGTGGACAGCAATGACAGAGAAAGAGTTGCAGAATCTGCAGAAGAGCTTTCTAAAATGGTAAGCATTCCATTTAACCTTCAGATATCACATAAAATCTGTATCACGCCAAAGTCCCTTTCAAGGAAAGTGTGTTCACTCGGCGGCCATATTTGCAATGCCTCCGGGCAACACGAGTCTCAAGCTTCAATGGGAACCAACTTGCAGAGTAAGTTCTAGCGGGAGCTGCAGTGACTTTACCAATCAACTATTGGCTCTTTTACTCAGAAGATGTTGCAGTTTCTCCCATTCATAATAGGAGTGAACCGTCATTCTAAATCTAAAGTCTTGGATCACGCTCAAGAACCTGTCACTTTTTCAGTGACCTGAACTGAGATCACGTTACACAATGTATTTGTATTTACATGTGCATTTATGTTCTTGGCCGGAGCTTTCTTACCAAAGTGTCATGACAAAGTCCATGTGTTATGTTTGTTAGGGACTTTGCCATTTGCCAAAACACACAATGCCATTTTATTTCTGGGAATAATACTGCATTTTCTTCCCTATTGTCAAGTCAAGTCACCTTTATTTATACAGCGCTTTTTACAATACAGATTGTTTCAAAGCAGCTTTACAGTGATTACAGGAAAATAATGCAACAAGGTTTGTTTCAGCAGTAGAGCAGCTCTAGAAGAAAATAGTGTCATTGTCCAGCTTAAAGGGATAGTTTCCCCCCAAAAAATAAACTGTCATTTGCTCACCCTCAAGTTGTTCCAAACCTTTCTTTCTTCGGCTGAACACAAAAGATATTTTGAAGAATGTTGGTAACCAAACATTTGATGTACCCCATTCGACTTCCATACTATGGAAGTCAATGGGGCCCATCAATTGTTGTTGAATATTATGTTGTGAGATGTATCCAAGTGAAATGACTTTTCTAACAAGAAAAAGCAGGATTTAATTTCCAACTGTGAATTGATTGGAACGCTGGATGACTAGTTTGCTATTGCTGTGATCTCATGTGAGTGACAGGTTGTCACACCACAGGAAACACATCTTCAATGAAGAGATGTCGCTTTTAGAGGCAGGGGAAGTTATTTTGATTAAAGATTATGAGGGCACATGAATTTAAAAGAAAATGTGCATAATAAATAATTCAATATTTCATATTGACTTTCATAATTTATTTTGAATATCAGGAAAAGTATTTATTTCTTACCTAAGTTTTTTTTTTAAATTGTTATTACAAAAATACTTTGTGCAGTATTAGCTAATTTGGCAGGTGGCCCGTGACTCCATTCTTATTGTTGTGCCCTGTAAATTACAACACATTTATATATTACTAATATATAAATCTGTTGATTTATTGACATTGTTAGATCAACCTCATCATGCTCACTTTCTTCATTTATACAGTTGCAGGAAGATGAACTGAGGGACGCCGTGCTGCTGGTTTTTGCAAACAAACAGGATCTGCCCAACGCCATGGCTGTCAGTGAACTCACAGACAAACTCGGGCTGCAGAGTCTACGCAGCAGAACGGTACGCACACTTATTTGATTGACTCCAACATTCACTTGTTTAAGTAGTGACTGCATTTTTATTGTCCGTTGTCCGTTTTCCACAGTGGTACGTTCAAGCCACCTGCGCTACACAGGGCACTGGACTCTATGAAGGACTGGACTGGTTATCAAATGAGCTCTCCAAACGCTGATAGTGAACTTTAGAAAGACAGAGGGTGTCAGTTGATAGACTCTGTCCTGAAGAACTTGTGTGTGTGTGTGTGTGTGTGCGCGCGTGTGGAGGAGCTATCAAGTGTTCGGCATCATGTCTAATCTATCTTATCTGTCTTTTTCTATGCTGTATTCCTACTAATGTTCTTTTAATTTTTTTTCCCTTACAAATCTGATTGTTTTTCAGGACTGTAAAATAATGCTTAAATTGCACGTTTACTTGATAACTGTGAGAGCATTATGGCACAACAGAGAGGAAGTTTAGGTGGAATTCCAGGTTGAGGCATCCCTATCACGCAAGTTTGGAGTAGTTGTAGCTTAAGAGCGAGCAAATGCCAGTCTATGTGCATTGACGCTCACTCCAAAGTCTCTGTTGCAGTGCTGCCTAACCTGACATGCGAGTCGTAGGACTCGCCGCTCCATAAACATTCCATTTCAGGGCAGTTAATTTTATTCCAGGAGGTTTTGTAAAGCTACACATTAACTTTTTTGCAAAATCTCATTAACTCCTCCTTAGGGACTTTGCCTCCAACCGAGCTTTTAAGATGCTTGGAACAAAATGGTACATGAAGTATTGACAGCAATATGGAGTCGTCCATGATTGATTAGCCCAATGATATCCAACCGCCTTTGATGTAAAATACCTCCATTGAACAATATGTAAGTAAATGTTTTAGTTGAAAGCATTTGAACAGATCATAGTACCTTGCTTGATTTTTCTGAGGTGGGATGGACATGGTGGATTCTTCAATCTGCTCCATGTTTCTTTTCTTTTTGCATCGTATGTATGTATGCTGGCACCTTTAATATATCAATGATCAAGGTGCATTCTGTGAGAATTTTGTATGGGACACTCCAGTAAACCAATAAGGTTCCCCTTTCCTGAGCAGGATTTTCTGATCTTATACACTTCCCTACTGCGGCAAATTCCCTACTCTTGCTCGAACTGTGCCACAAGGTCCACACCTGTGAGAAAATAAAGATCTGATAAAAACTGAATGGAAACATTGTATGCTGGTGATTATTTATTTGTATTTTTTTCATTGATATACTCTGGTTACAAACCTTTCAAAGGGATTTTCTATTCTTAAAGACCATTGCTATAGGCTGCATTATTGCACAGCTTTATGCTGGTTATCTCATTTGAGATGGATTAAACCGATAGATTGTTTATAATTTTCAAGATTACCAGTTGATCAAACTGGTTGTTTAATCTAATTTTTAATCACTGCAAAAAATCTGTTAATAAGATGGTTTACTTGCCTCAAATTCATGTTATGGGAGATAAAACCGAGATGCATGTTTAAGTTCAAGTTACTTTATTTGTACCCGAAGGTAGATTTTGTTTATTAAACCTAAAAGAGTTATTTAGGGTTTCCTCCAGGTATAATATGACATAGTCATTAAATGACATAAATTAATTTCATCTGCTTTTTTGCTTCATGAATATGTGAAAAATACAGAAAATATCTATCTTAAATATATTGCAAGTGTGCATATATGCATGGGGGAAAATTCCAAATAGAAGGGCAAAAAGGTTGGTTTAGTAATTTTGTAATGTCTGTCTGTAGTGATTACCTCACTTTGGCAGAGTAGTGTTCGTTATTTTTACATGTACAATTTTAAAATGAGGAGGTAGCTGCTGTTGCCTCGTTTGTTGTTTTTTTTGTTTTGTTTAAAATAAAAAGCCTGCTTAGTGGACTGAATGTATAGAGAAAGAAGTGGGAAAAAGACATATCATGTACCAACAAGTTATAATGCCTTCTGGATTTTATTGTTGATTTACACTGCTTTGTTCCCTTCCAATAATCACTATATAAACAATCATACAAAATCCAGAGAAAGACTGGTACATTTCACAAACCGCTGATATTGCAGTATTTTTTAAGGAGGTTAATGTTATGATTTAAATTTCATCTGGATATGAACCAAAGATATTTTTGTAAACTGAATAATTATTATAGCACCACTAGGTTATATACATAACGAAATCATAGCAATAAAATAACGAAAGCTGACGAGATGCCAAATTTTCAAATATTTAACATCGACAAAATACCTGAGAACCAAAAGTACTTTCTCATTTCTTTAATTCGTTATTGTATAGACCACGTACCGTCACAATATGACATTTTTTTTACAACCAACAATTACAACCAAAAACAGCGTATAATAATACAAACAGGAACTTATTATTTGTATTAATTATTGATATCATTATTACTGAGCAGTTATAATTATATCAATAAATAATAATAATAATTGCACTATTACTATTATTCGTTTTTTAACAGTATGTGTACTTTGTATTATTATTATTAAGCTGTTTATTTTGTTCTAAAAGCTGTCATTATGAAAAACCCCTTGTCGGAAGTGGCGTGGCATCATATCTTCCACGGCGGCCGTGACGTGGCATTACGCAAGCGCAGAGTCGACAAGGTTTCTTGACACCAGACGAGCATCACAACGAAAAACTTTAGACATTAGGAGTAATCCCGTAGTTTTAGGTGATTTGTGTCCTTCATCATGGGTCTGACCATCTCGTCGATCTTTAGCAGGCTGTTTGGAAAGAAACAGATGAGAATTCTCATGGGTGAGTAAGGTTATTGAGTCTCATGCTAGCTAAGCTAGCGGCGTTAGCCAACTTTCGCAATTCTGTCATTCCCCAGAAAATAACTGATGAAATAGAAAACTAAAACTGACTCCTGATTTTCTTTACAATGTAGGTACATAGCTAAGTCAAGTGGGCATTTATATATTGGCTAAATAGCCTGCGATATGATCTCACAAGCTTTAAAATTGAATAATTGTATGTGATAAATAATTTCATTCTAAGATACTGTCAGTTCATGAGCAGGAACGGATGAGCCACTGCCCGATTAGGTTTAGTATAATTTATCTTCGAATGAAGTGTAAATTATTTCATTGTATAATGTAGTATAGTGTGTCTTGTTTTTTTCGTGCCTTATACTGTGCATTTATGGAATGGCATACTACTTTTTCTCATCATGAAAACCACTTTATTATGCCATTATACTTATACAGTTGTATTGTGTTGTGCTATTCAGTAATTTATTAATGAAAATATTCAGTGCTCAAGACAAGACCTCTCACTTTTTTGGGGAAAAAGTACTTTTTTGCTACTAAAAAGAATGAAAAGTGCTTTCATTTAATCCATTCACATTTTTGACCAAATTTCACATTCTGAAATGCAGGTTTACGAAATTATAAAGACTCAACTTTATGGTTTTGTTGACTAAAGAAAGGCTCTAAATACGGTATTAGTCTTTGAATAAGAAAGCTTTAAATATAGCTATATATATTATTACCCCCTGGCACTTTTTGCACACTTTTTTTTACACCATTTTTAGTATAGGTTTCCATACTAGTATAGTAGAGTTACAGTTGTGCTCTAGTTAATTATAGTGTAAAACTGGTACACTGTAAAACTGTAAAACCACAATAAAGAGTAGTATCGTTTAATTCATGTTAAATGTTATTTCCAGTATATTTAATAGAAGTACAATCTAGTTTATATCCTTGGCCATTTAAGGACATGGCATGAGCTCTTTTGAGAGTTTTAAAGTCACGTTACTGCCGTTTCTGTCTTATATATTTGAAAACCTTATTCCCATCATGCACTCTTGGTGTTTTACAGTGGGGCTGGATGCTGCTGGCAAAACCACAATATTGTACAAACTGAAACTTGGAGAAATAGTGACCACCATTCCAACCATAGGTAAGAGGACAGGACTAGTAAACATGTGACATCATTAGCTCATCTTTATGATCTCAGAGCAGTTCTCATGGATAGATTGAGGTCATTGGATTGTCTTCTGAGCAACAGTCATATGAGTATTCCATCATCCACTGGGAACAATTTCTGAATTTGTGTTACTTTTGTCTCCCTTTATGATATGTCAACATCCACTGGCTGTCCGTCATCCATGTGGTTTCTGTGAATGCCTGATTGTCCTGTCTTGCACCACTAAAGAGTTCTGCTTTTTAATGAAACTGGCTGAACAGTTCTATTATTGTATGATGTGTATTTCTGAGCACTGTGTTTCTATTGGGCAGGTTTTAATGTGGAGACCGTTGAATACAAGAACATCTGCTTCACTGTGTGGGATGTCGGCGGTCAGGACAAGATTCGTCCTCTCTGGAGACACTATTTTCAGAACACACAGGTATGATCTTGATGTGCATGAAATATTGTATGAAATATTATTTCACTGCACACTTACTTATAGTTTCTTATAGACTCATTTCTCTTTTTCCATTCATTCTTTTGTCCTCAGGGGCTGATCTTTGTGGTGGACAGCAATGACAGAGAGAGAGTGGCAGAATCTGCAGAGGAGCTTTCTAAAATGGTAAGCATATATCATTGTGAGCATCTCTAATGGCAGCAAGGATTAAGGACATTTGTGGAAGTGTTTTGTTGGCTTAATGTGGTTAAGTTGCCTCATCAGTGTCTTTTCCTGTGCATATGTGCAGTTGCAGGAAGATGAACTGAGGGACGCCGTGCTGCTGGTTTTTGCAAACAAACAGGATCTGCCCAACGCCATGGCTGTCAGTGAACTCACAGACAAACTCGGGCTGCAGAGTCTACGCAGCAGAACGGTACGCACATGCACACTAATGAGACCAATGTGCTCCTCTACTCTTTAGTTTCGACATAGTCATACCTTTTATTAAACAGCACAAAATCTGAGTAACATCTAATTAACATTTATACACTAACGTTCAAAAGTTTGGGGTCAGTAAGATTTTTAAAATGTTTTTTAAAGTCTCTTATGCTCACCAAGGCTGCATTTATTTGAAAAATACAGTAAAAAGGTAATGTTGTAAAATACTCTTACAATTTAAATACCTGTTTTATATATATATATATATATATTTATATTTATTATTATAAAAAAAAATTATTTTTTATTTTTATTTTTTTACATATCATTTATGCCTGTGATGGCAAATTTTCAGCATCATTCCTCCAGTCTTCAGTGTCACATGATCCTTCAGAAATCATTCTAATATGCTGGTTTGCTGCTCAAGAAACATTTCCTATTATTTTCAATGTTGAAAACAGTGGTGATGCTTACTGTTTTTGTGCAAACCATTGCATTTTTTCAGGATTCTATGATGAATAGAAAGTTCAAAAGAAAAAAATATATTTAAAATTGTAATCTTTTGTAGCATGAATATCTTTACCATCAATTTAATTCATCCTTGCCAAGTAATTTCTTCCAAAAAAAAAAACCTTACTGACCACTAACTTGTGAATAGTAGTGAACATGCTGGACGAAACTGGTGCTGCTATCGCATTATCTAGGTCTGTTAGTCTGACTTGGCTGGCACGGAATAAAGTGTTTACATGACATTTAAAAAGATTAAGTAGAGTGAGCTGCTTCAACCTACTTACCGGCATTTTTTTTTTTTTTTTACATTTTGGCTGATTTCCTCTGTCTGGGCTTCTTACAGTGGTACGTTCAAGCGACCTGCGCTACACAGGGCACTGGACTCTATGAAGGACTGGACTGGTTATCCAATGAGCTCTCCAAGCACTAGTGGGTCTGCTAGAGGCGAGATGAGGTGTATGAACCAATGGAAAGGCAAGAGACTCCTCTTAGAATTTTTAAGTGTGTGACAGAACTGGAAGCTGGGGAGAAACCATCAAACACTCTGCGCCTGTCTTAGCTTTCCTTTTTTACAATATTTTGTAGCACAAGTTTATCTATTTCTTTTCTTCTTCTTTTTTTGTTTTAATTCCAACAAAAACAACTTTTAGTTTATTATTTTGCAAGAGGAAAAAATGTTTTGAAGGACCTTCCTTCACTCTGACTTTTAATTTTTTCAGAAAGGCCTCATGCAAAACCAAAAACACTGGAGTCCCTGATCAGTGAGCAGGGTTATTGGTTTTGCTTTAGTGTCCTTAACATCTGACCATCATGTTTTAGCATCTAGCTGAGAACTTCTGTTAAGGAGCTCACTGGAGAATCTGTGGGGTCAGTAATATTTCTGAACTGGTCTTTACATGTGGAGTCGTTGGGCAAATCAAAGCCATGCCTGTTCCATCAATCCTTATAGGTATGCAACGTTGTAAAATTTGTTACATCACATTATCCGCTGTAGTGGCGTGGAGTCCTGTGGTCCTTCTGAACATTATCCTTGTCTGCATGAGTTTACTTCATTCTGAATCTTGGTTGAAATTCCCCACATCAACAGCACATGGCATGCATGGCATGAAAAGGTTAACTTTCTTTTATTAGGTTAGTTTACTCCCCACAATCCATTGTTGTTTGTGGCAAATGTTTGAGCAACTGGTTTTACTCTCAGAGTCAAAGGGAACATTATGTTTTTCAGCCACAATGATGCAATGATAACATCTCTGAAGTTCTTTCCATTAGAATTTAAAGTTGAAATTGATTGATGTGTTTTATGTTTGTCATGCCATGAGAAATGTTTTGCTCAGGCGTGTTTCTTGAGCTTATCATTATTTGTGACTGAATCTGACTCCGGAATGCAAATGTAATGTATTGATGAATTCCATGTCTGGTTGAAATGGTATGCTTTCCTGAACTGAGGTGTAACAGATAAAATCTATTTTACCCTATTATCATGACAAATTTGTTTGTGTATTATATGTATGATATTGTTTTAGAATAAAACATAATCGTGAACATATTGTGTTGAATGTTATAAATCTATTTTGCTCTTTAAATGCAGACTTTAAATTCAGGTGTCCCATTTTTTGGGAGCAAAATCATTTATGTGTAAACGTCCAAAAGTCTTCATGTTTATAGTAATTTTCTCAACAACACAAATCTGTAAATTTCTCAGTTGTATTTCATCTAAGTTGCATTAATGCATCAATCCAGCAGATGGCACCTGGAATTAACAACTTCAGCCAACAAACTGTTACTAAAATATTTGAAAAGGATATTGATAAAGAACACTAACAAGTTAATATAAATAGCACTTTGTGTGCATTTACAATATTTTATCTTTTGGTTTATTTTATAGATCACATCAGTATTTATTTGCAGCAGAGATAGAAATTAATCTTTCTAATTACTATACAGTACAGTTATACAAGACTCAGGACGTCTGTGTATTGAAATATTTCTTCCTTGAATGAACTCTTTTGAAAGTATTTTCGTGTTCTTGTTTATTTTTAAGAAGCATTACGTGTGCTGTGCAACGCCTTTAAAATGACGGATCTTCATGTTTAATCTTAGTGAATTTGGTATAGGACTTAAATATGCACTCTGCTCAATCATTCCTCTCCATAAAAGTCATAAAAGCAACTCGAGTGTCTTTAGTGCATGCAATGAGAAACATACTGAGAAACCAAAACTAAGAGCGGAATAGAAAGTTATTGCCACTGTTGTAAACAACTGATACCACAGCCACAGGAATTGCCTTCTAGCGTGCGTTTGTCAGTCATGGTTAGATTTGGGTGTGAACTGGAGATGATTCTAGAACTGTACAGGGCAACATCTGTCCACGTCACAGGTAGGACTAGGAGGGTGTTGAAATGTTTATTTTTTTAGCTTGGTCAATTTTGTTAGGTTTGCGAATAAACTCGGACGTCCGTGAATCAGTTTTACAGGTCTTTGGTGATTCCTCTGGAGGACGCCTTAGAACCTGCTGCTAGCACTAATGGGTAAATAATAGACCTTAAGATACATCAGTGAACTGTTCATAGATATATGTAATAAAAGCTTCAGTTACATTGTCGATTACATAATGTGTAAATTCCAAACTCCATACATATAAAAAAACAACATCTGCAATCCCATTTTGCTGACCTTGTTTTGTTGTTTGATTGTTTTATAGACTGCAATGTAATAACCACTTTCAAGGCCCAGAAAGGTAGTAAATACATTGCTAAATTAGTTCATGTGACTACAGTGTAGGGCTGGGCGATATGGTCAAAACAACATATCTCGGTATTTTTGGGTTGAATTAAGGAATTCCCGCATACTTGCAATGAGTATCAAAATTGTATTAGGAATGTTTCGGTCTCACGACCTTCATCAGGCATATGAACAAGCCTGATGATGGTCGTGAGACCGAAATGTTGCTAATAAAATTGATAATATGAGTACTCGTATTTAATAGTATAGATGTGTTACTTTTTAAATATGACTATGTGGTTAGTAGTTGTATTTTACCTTATTTTAACAAGCCTCTTGACGTAAGCTACTGCAATCAGCAGACATCAAAATTGGAGGAGAACGGAGAAACGGAGCAGAGAGAGGCCACTCAAAAAAAGTGCAGGGGCGTGTGCTTGTGATTGATTCTGCGAGAGTGAGGGCGGGGCGCGATATTTTTTTCCACAGGATGGTAGGGGAAGACTCATGAATATTCATTAGGGAACTCATCCCTGATTGGTCTTAACCCCAATGACGGGTAGGTTTAGGGGCGGGGTTAGGGGTAAGTCATCAGACCCCCAGTGACGGGTAGGTTTAGGGGCGGGGTTAGGGGTAGGTCATCAGACCAATCAGGGATGAGTTCCCTAATGAATATTCATGAGTCTTCCCCTACCATCCTGTGAAAAAAGTACTCACTACTGCGCAGACGCAGGTCCCAATATGTCAGTGTCATATCGGGACACTGGCGGCTTCACTTCTCTTTTTTTTTACAGTCTATGTTCTCACCAACGGAAGAGAAACCTTTAATAAAAACCTCTAATATTGCCAAAGAAGTAAGGTAACACCAGTGACAAAAAAAAAATAATGCTACATGCGGTCAATGCACAAAAAATATAAAAAATCATTAAGCTGTCATTTATGTGTATTCATAAAGTCAAAGGATAATCTAATAATGTGGTATAATTTTAAATGTTAGAAAAAGAAATCAATTTTAAGACATATTGCCATACCAAAATTGGGGTTTTGTGTAGAATTACCCATACACATATTACATAATACTTTAGTAATCGGGTTGACGGCTCATTTACTGCAGAGCAAGTACTGATTGATGTTTTATTAACAAGGTTCGGGAGGAACACGTTCTAATGATCAACAATCAAGTCATTCCAACCAGCTGTCAGCAATCAGTAATCAACAGGTCCACTCAATCAGCATGAGTAAAGCCTATATACGCAGTCGAATCACCCATAGTTCTCGACAGTTTTCAGCATCCCTCCACCACCCCATCTCCTCACACTTGCCTGATTATCTTCCTAAACAGAGATGGGGGGAGTACTCTGGGTTCGGGCCCAATTTCCGAGCTCGGAACCCTCCCACCGGACAGCACGCCAAATACGCATAACCATTTACTCTCTGATCATTCGTAAGTGTGAACTCGTGAAATGCTAGCAAATATTAGTGTCACTTGATGGTGGATCTGGTGAAGAAGCTGTCAGCGATCAAAATATTGATTTAGGCCATTCTAAGAGGTGTTGATAGTATAAAACATCTGCTCAAACTGAACCCTTCCAAGCTCCAAAAGGTAACAAAATAAGCTTTATTTTATTCTTCTGTAATTGTTACTTTAATAGCAGGAGAGTTTTATATTATCGCGACAGTATAAAGATCCATCCGTGTTAGATATAGATCCGGGTAAAGACCCGAATATGTAGGCTAATAATGATTGGCGAAACATTCATCCATTTGAGGGTTCAAGACAAATCATCAAAAACTATTTATATTATAATCTGTAACTAAATTGTATCCTGAGTTTTCTGTATAAATGTAAATACAAATGTCGAATGAAATATTACAATAACAAATGTCTTAAGACAAGTCACTAGTTTTGCTTTGTATTTACTAAGAAACTGAGCCTGGTAAGGAGAGGGAGGAGTTTATTAAGGAAATGTTGTAGGGTATTTAAGCGAGAGGAAGCAGAGATCAGTCTTTTCGATCCTGCAGACTCTGTTGTCTGAGATGGAGCGGAATGACTCTACTTGTATGCTGTGATCTAGTGTGCAGTCTGGTGAGTGATCATGTCTATTTTTTGCTTTTTAAAACTCGCAGGAGTAATAATTGCATAATGTTTTAATCGTTTATCTTTTTTCTGTGACCTCTTTACTGACAAAAAAGTAAGGGCGTTGCCCTTGAGGAATGTAATGAATAAAATCTCCACCCGTTTGTCAAATAAAATCACATCACATCCATTGAAAAAGTTCTGTCTAAGCGATTTAGAGACCTACAGTTTTATTGTAGTCTGAAGAAAACTGAAATGGGGGAGGAAAAAAAAGGAAAACACTTCCTGGTTGATAGACAAATTCTTGATTATTTGTGATTTATATGCACAGACTTATCAAGCTGATTATATATATATTTTTAATTAATAATCAATGGTATTAATGTTATTTCTCCGTCTCCTTTCAATTTCAGCTGCCACCAGATGACTGCATACGAGTCGAGACGTCACGCTGCCGAAGGATCTCTTTGACTTAAGTCATGCTTGCGTTTATTTTTTGTAAGCGGATTTCACTGTAAATTCTGTTCTTTTTTTACTGAGATCAGATGGAAGTTTTAGATATAATAATAATGTTGTCATTTCATGTTTTGATTTTAAGGAGGAGAGGTGGAGATCCAATCTGCCAAGGGATTCGGCACTCGGGTCCACTGCCCTGTTCTAGTGCATTCTCTGGCAACACTGGATGCCTGGCTGGGGTCCAGTGGACCTGGAGTGGACAGCACCAGGTCCATCCATGACCTGCTGACGAAGCACCAGTACACTAGAAGCAACCGAAAACAACCAAAAAGCCGAAAACTATCCCCATACCTTTTTCCTTTGGTCGGCTTCTGGTTGTCTGTTGCTTGGTTACAGGTTATGGGGATGACCTGCTGTAAAACCAACCATGTTTTGTAAAAAGGCTGACTGCAACTTTTTCCCCAAAAAATTAAAAATCAATAAAAATGGAAAAACCTGAACTAAAATTAATATCTGTGTTTTATTTTATTTGAGTAGTTCCTACGCAGTTTGGAAAAGTATGGAATTTGATTTTGAGTAATTTTAAGTATGGAAAAAGGAAACAGAGTATGGAAAAATATTTGCATTTCCAGACTATTTAGTTTTCTATAAAAGAAAATTATAAATGTAATGAAAATAAATGTATCATACAAGAAGGTTTTTTTTTTTTATATCAGCTTAGTGATTCTCAAACATGACTGAATAAATTCAAGGTGCACTTTCTCATTATGCAAAAATGCAGGTTATAAGCGTTTTAGGTTTCTTCTCACAATATTCTTAACATCGTATTACAGAGCCTCTAAAAGGACCTTTGAAAAAATAAAAAAATATACAGACTTTCGTGTGTGCTCGAGAAACCATTAATCTTAGCATATCTTAGCCACCTATTGCAACATCAGGCCATTTTGTGGTGTGGTTTCTTGGCCGCCACAAAGTATGCATTAAAGCAGACCAAAAGCCTTGAAATATGATGTACTGCCCTAACGAAAGCACTTTTGAACACCTTTTTTATAGGATAAGGCTTTTTTTATAGACTCTTGAACTTGGCAATTAGACAATACACAGTCGTATTGGTAAATGGACTGCATTTATATAGCGCTTTCACAGAAGTAGTATTAACATAAACCATGTGTCAAAAAAGGTGATTTATGACTTTGATTTATGGTTCTGAGGTTCCCCTGTCTCTGATTTATGATGGGTCGCTGACAGGCTCCGGTATGTCTAGGCTGCGCGACGCCATGTGACATCCTCC